AATATCAAGGTTGAAGAATAAATCGTGTATATTCTACTATAGACACGATTAAAAAAACAGTACTATGTTACTTATATCTATTGATGAGAATGAATAATGACATAAAAGAGCTCTGAACGAAGAATAATATTCTCCACGAATAGTATCGTGAACACGAAATGTGGAAGACTCTATAAGGGATCTTACTGTCGATATCAAGTATTTGAAAGATAACAAGAAGTGGAGATCGTAATGTGAAATGCAGAATGGCTGCTGGTCCTACATACTGAATAGGTGAGAGAGTTAATAGTTAAGTCCCACTCTGGCCTTTACATGAAGACGAATACTACAAAGACTATTTCCTTGGGCAGTTAAGCGGTTATTCCATTTGTATTTACGAAAAATGTTAGGTGATATAGCTCATTTTTACATACAGACAATTAAAATTAGTGTGCAAATGGTTTATTGCTAATAATTAGTATTGTATAGAAACTGATGTTTTACTGAAATTTATCATTATCATAGAGTGTGTAAATTAAAAACACTGCAAATTGTGTTTCAAGTTCAAACAGACTGAAACAAATGTAAGACAGCTTAAAAAAGTAACGGAATAATAATGTTTGGATGAATTATTACGAAGAAAATCTATAAAACAAACGATCTGTTAAATCCTTTAACATAATTTAATAGCTTTGTTTTGACTTTTAGTAATTGAATGCATAAATGCATCTGGACTCTTCGATATAATGATTGAAATGCGTTGGGTGGATTTTGTATTATGTAAAATACTAACATCGGCCTGGTAAAACACATTAATATTTATAGGTGGATTTATTTGAGTTTAGTTATATTAACAAACAATCACCGTATATACCTTAGATTAATAATAGGGGAGTTGTATATATATATATATATATATATATATATATATATATATATATATACATACATATATACATTGTAGTACAATTACATTTCCTTTTAACTCGAATTCCTTTATTGTTCTACACATGTTTCGAGTTATTCAAATCTCATCATCAGGAACAATTGCATTCGTAATGAGATTTGATAACGAATTAAGTGAACAGCAAGTCCAAGCTTGCTGAAAGCTATTGGACGATATAAGAAATAACCTTTCATTCTGACAAAACATATACAGTTTACCCTTAAAAAAACACTATATATATAAAAACACTATCTTTAAAACACTATCTTAAGAAAAAACTATCTAAATGAAAGTGGACGATTACATTTTCTTTCAATTCGAACTTCACCATTGTTCTAAATGTGATTTAAGTTAAAATTTAAAAGGGAAATTACAGCAAGAAAATAATTACAAAAAAAGATTGTTTTTGGAAATGTGTCATATAAATAGAAAAAACTATGCAGTAAATTACAAGGCAGACACGGGACAGTTGAGCAATATCTACTGTAATATTCTTAGTATCTCCAAATAATTTTTCTGTTAACAATTATATTTTAAAACACCCTGTATATTTTTAATGAGTAATTTTATTGTGTTTTAATTGTTTCTTGGTTGTTTTTTTTTTGCTCTGTTTTAATATTTAATTACTAGTGACCTAGGTGCTTTTAACCAATACTGTCAGTACTGTTTTGAACAAATTATGTTCAAGAACTTGTTTAAATACTTTTCACTCTAAATCTGTAAGTAAGTCATTGTTTATTCTAAACTTATTTTTATATAACTTTTAATCATATTTTAGTTGTCTCCTGATGAAGCTGACAAAAAATCAGCGAAATATAGAGGATTAAAAGGTAAAAGAGTTTTTTTTAATAATAACAGACCGCATACCCGATATTCTAAAACAATAAATTGTTATATATATATATATATATATATATATATATATATATATATTAAAGATCGCTACTGGACAACGTTATTTTTGCAGTTCGTCAGGTTATGATTGCCACGTATAAAGCAACTGTGAAGAGAATATTGATTACATGCTATGAAAGCTTAAAAAAGAGTATGAACTTTGAGGTTTAAATGTAAACATAAAAAAAGTTACAGAGTTACTGAGAATCGGAGAAGAACAAGAGTTCCCAGACTTACAATTACGACATGTGAAAAACAGTTTATTTCACGTAATGCAATAAATGTGCAAAATAAATAGAATTGATGGGACATACTGTAATAATATATAAACTAAAAGATTTATTATCGTTGTTGAACACGATAATTTTAATATTAATGTATTTAAATTAGTTTTTCTTTAATTAAATTGCTTATTAAAATCGATATGCGCGATGATGATGAAATTAGAAAATCCACATAGTAATATAAACGTATATAGTCTGCTTTGCATTTGGATTTTAGAAAGGAAAAACCAAAACTTCTCTTACGTGTAAAACCAGGAGCGCACTAGCTACGATTAAGCGTGTAGTAAAATACGTTCAGAAAGAAAACAAGAAGAACGTTATGAACACGCGACAAAATAACAAAAACTATAAAAGTTTAACACCCAAGACCGGAATGGAAAGGAATTTAAGCCTAAATAATCAATAATCAGCTACTGGTAACAGTTAAAGAGGGACTAAACATGGGAAATGAGATAAATGTACAATGAGCAGAAATATAGCTCGACGACATAAAAGACGAAGAAGGGATAAATTACATCCTAACAGAAGAACAAGTAAATAAAGGATTTAAAAAACTGAAAGAGCACAAATCCTCTAGACCAGACGGCATTTATCCAGGGCTTTTAAAGTATGGTGCCAAAAAATCTAATATAACTAGTCTAATATAGTCTAATAATAATAATAATAATAATAATAATAATAACCTGTCGGAATACCTGTCGTGGAACAAAAACTGACACCTGGCAGTAGGTATAAAATGCACACCCATGATAATGGAGTCTATTAATTTATGTTTAGGGTCGCTGCCTGGGGATCTCCAGGGCACGTCTGGAGCCGGCGCTGGACGTGACAGCATGCGGGACGTCGGTGGCAGGGTGTTGAGGAGGCGGGCCCCTGTCATACAATCAGCTACAGCCCAACAACAACAACAACAACCACAAGTGAGCCAAACAACAACAAGAGCTCCACTTGCTGAAGGTGCTGCGCTGGAACATCAGCCGGCGCTCACTCAAGCGGGACGACCGAGGCAGCGTATGAAGTGGACAGTGTCCATAAACGAAAATATTATGCGCTTTTATTATAAGGTGACAAACCTCGGTCAAGAAACAATCGGCTATCGACAACAACTGTATGCCGAATTTTGCAGGGAGTACCCAGAAATCCAAGTATCTGAACAAAGAGTAGCAGATCAATACCGGGTAATTTTAAGAAACAATCTTATTCCAGAGACTAGACGCGACACCATCAGACGCGAAATCGAACGGGAGATTTATAACCAAGAACAAGTTGCAGACCAAGTCCCTAATGAAATCCCTAATGAACAGATTCCTGAGATTCTCATACAAGAAACTCAACCTAATAATACACAGCAGGACAATAACGAGTTGCACGATAGTCTGGCAAACGAAATGGCGCGCGCCGTACAAGAGTTTAATGGAACAAACCCACTTAGCAGACCACCGCTACCAAAAATAAACTTTTCCAAGAAACTAGGAGCGCTGTTACAAATTGTGAATACTGAAGTCCTACCCAATTATATCACAGAAGCCCACACATTGGAATATTTGCATATGCTGATTTACTGTGCAGCAACAGCAATTGCTAATGTTATGGGCATTAAGATCAGAACACGACGGGGTACCAACATCGGAAGGACTGTTAACAGAATAGCACCCTGGGAAAAACGACTGCTGAAGAAGATCGAATTACTGCGTAGGGACATTGGACAAATAACAGAGTACATAAGAGGAGTAAGAAGTGGAAAAATCATCAAAAGAGCTGAAGAAATATTGTGTAACACTCTAAGACACTCACGATATGATCCAGAAAACAACACACCTCAATAATGCCTGGACACATTAAAACAAAAACTATCTGTTTACTCAGGCCGCCTGAGGAGATACAAAGTTAGTAACAACCGGAAATGCGACAATATACTTTTTGAGCAAGTAGAGAAAACTTTCTATAGGAAACTTAATTCCACTGTAGAAAACGCAAATAAATCCTACCCAAGCCAAGAAGAAATTCATGAGTTTTGGGGAAATCAACTTTCGACGCCAGCAACCCATAACAACGATACTGGATGTATTGAAGACACCACGGACAAATGTCAACACTACAGGAATATTCCTTATGAACCTTTCACCACTGAAGAAGTCTCGAACATTATTAAAGAGCCTTATAACTGGAAATCTCCTGGACCGGACGGAGTTCAAAACTTCTAGCTAAAGAAGTTTTGGAGTGTTCATGAGCTTGTAACAGTATTTATTAATAATATTATTACTAATTCACAGAAAATACATACCATCATTCCTTACTCAGGGAACCACTTATCTAATACCGAAGGATCAAAATAACACCCAAGATCCAGCCAACTACCGCCCAATTACTTGTCTTCCAACTTTGTACAAATTGGTCACATCCTGTGTGGCCCGGCGTATCTACCAACACTGTGCTCTGAACAATATCATAGAGCCCCAACAGAAAGGATGCGCTAAGGGCTCCATGGGATGCAAAGAAGAACTTATTATCGACTCAGTCATTTCTAACCAGGCATACACCAAAAAAGAAACCTTTAAACTGCCTTCATTGACTACAAGAAGGCTTTTAATTCAGTGCCGCATGAATGGCTTATAGATATATTGAAAATATATCAAGTCGATGATAATCTCGTGACCTTTTTGAAGCATATAATGACAGAGTGGAAGACTAAAATTCACCTTCAAATACCTGGTGAAATTAATATCGAAACTGAAGATATCCCTATTAACCGGGGCCTTTTCCAGGGGGACTCGTTGAGTCCACTTTGGTTCTGCTTAGTGATGAACCCACTATCTTAGCTGCTGAACTCTACTGACTCAGGATTTAGTATCAAAAATAACAACACTGTTGTAGCGAAGCTTAATCATCTGTTGTATATGGATGATTTAAAATTAATGGCTTCCACTCGAAACCACCTAGATGAGATGCTAAAAACTGTAGAAAATTTTTCAAATGATATCAGTATGCATTTTGGACTAGACAAGTGCCGTATACTAAATATAGTCAGAGGAAAGGTTCAGCCAGGAGGTTTCGATATGCAAGATGGCCAAAACATCGAGGGAATGGGTGAAAATGATATGTACAAATATCTCGGAGTAAAACAAGCGCGGAAAATTGACCATAAACACATGAAAACGGAACTAACTTCGGAGTTCGTGCGAAGAGTAAGACAACTAAATCAGTCATATCTTACTAGTAAAAATTTGTTTAAGGCTTTAAATACGTATGCCTGTTCCGCGCTGAGCTACTCATTTGGTATTATAAAGTGGTTAAAAACGGATATAGAGGGCCTTCAGCGGAAAGTAAGAACACTTCTCACAAAGGCGCAAAAACATCATCCACGTAGTGCAGTAGAGAGAACAACATTACCGTGGTATCAAGGGGAAGAGGACTTATGGATATAGGTGAGCAATTAGATAAACAAATTGCTAATTTAAGATCTTATTTTTAGGTAGTAGATGTAGCCATGCAGAAAGCTGTACTCCTCGCGACGTCCAGATGTGTACAAAAATTTTTGGGAGATACTACAACACACCAAGTCACCTATGGCTCGATAACACGGAAAGAGTCCCACCAGAGCTCAATCCTTTTGATACCGTAGGTATCTGGGATGAGTGAATTTTCCCCTTAGAGGGAGTGTGAGCCGTATGGCTAAATCTGGAATAATAATAATAATTGGTTCTGTTTAGCGATGAACCCACTATCTCAGCTACTGAACTCCACCGACTCAGGTTTTAGTATCAAAAATAACAACTGTTGTGGCGAAGCTTAATCATTTGTTGTATATGGATGATTTAAAATTAATGGTTTCCACTCGAAACCACCTAGACCAGATGGTAAAAACTGTTGAAAATTTCTCAAATGATATTAGTATGCACTTCGGTCTTGACAAGTGCCGTGTCTTAAATATAATCAAAGGAAAGGTTCAGCCGGCGGATTCGATATGCAAAACGGCCAGAACATCGAGGCCATGGGTGAAAATGATATGTATAAATACCTCGGAATAAAGCAAGCGCGGAAGATTGACCATAAGCAAATGAAAACTGAGATAATAACTGAATTGATACGAAGGGTAAAACAGCTGCTTCGTTCACACTTTAACAGTAAAAATTTGTTTAAGGCACTAAACACCTACGCATGTTCCGCGCTTAGCTACTCATTTGGTATTGTTAAGTGGACAAAATCGGATATAGAAAATCTTCAGCGAAAAGTACGAACACACCTCACAAAGGCACAAAAACACCATCCTCGAAGTGCAGTAGAAAGAACGACATTACCGCGGTATTTAGGAGCTCGAGGACTTATATATAGAAGCGAGCAATTAGAAAAACAGATTACTAATTTAAGAACTTATTTTGAGGTGCAGGCGGAGACATCTACTCTTCATCGCGTGATTTGTGCAGTAGATGACACAACACCGATCAAACTGAGGGAACCAGAAATGCGCATAAACCACCTTACTAAGAACGAAAAAATGCGCACCTGGATGGGCAAGCCTCTGCACGGGCAACATCCCAATGAGGTCAGTCAACACCATGTCGACAATATAGCATCGAACTATTGGCTGACATCAGGAAAGATGTTCCCCGAAACAAAAGGTTCACTACCGGCCATTCAGGATCAGGTTATACCAACCAAAAATTACCTGAAATATATCGTCAAAGACCCTCAGGTCCAAAATGACAAATGTCGATCTGGATGCCAAGCTCAGGAAATCATTCAACATCTTACCGGGGGCTGTCAGGCATTTGCTGCAACTGAATATAAGGAATGGCACGACTCAGTAGGAAAGATCCTTCGTCAAAAGATAGCTATCAAACTGGGACTTCTTCAAACAAACCATCTTCCATGTTATCAATATGTTCCTGAGAGTATACTTGAAAACGACAACTACAAGCTATACTGGAATCGCACGGTGCTCACAGACCAAACAGTGGCACATAACAGACCAGATCTCATACTAGTTAATCAACTAAAGAGACAAACAACATTAATTGATGTGGCGATACCCAACAACAATAATCTTCGTGTTAAACAAAACGAAAAAATCGCCAAGTATAGGGATTTGGAAATTCAAATACGAAGACAGTGGAAAATGAAAAGTACCCAGACAATACCTATTATTCTGTTTACTACTGGAGTCATTCCAAAGAACCTCCTAGAAAATATAAAAAAGCTAGGTCTGAATGAACATCTCTACAAGACCATGTAGAAAGCTGTACTACTCTCAACATCCCGATGTGTACGAAAATTTTTGGGAGATACTCCAGCATACCAAGTCACCTAGGGCTCGATAACATGGAAAGAGTCCCACCAGAGCTCAACCCTTTTGATACCGTAGGTATCTGGGATGAGTGAATTTTCCCCTTAGAGGGAGTGTGAGCCATATGGCTAAATCTGGATAATAATAATAATAGTATGCTTGTAATAATAATAAAAATAAGAGTATGCTTGAGAATGACAACTACAAGATATACTGGGATCGCACTGTGCTCACAGACTAAACTGTAGCACATAATAGACCAGATCTTGTACTAGTTAATAAACTAATAAGACAAACAACTCTAATCGATGTGTCGATACCTAACAACAATAATCTGGGTGTTAAGTACAACGAAAAAATCGCCAAGTATAGAGATCTGGAAATACAAATAAGAAGTCAATTGAGAATTTATTCTCTCAACCACTGTAGTCATTTCGAAGAACCTCCTAGAAAACATAAAAAAGCTGGGTCTAAATGAACATCTATATAAGGTCATGCAGAAATCTGTACTACTTTCGACGTCTAGAGGCATGCGACAATTTTTGGGAGATACACCGACGTACTAAGTCACCTAGGACTCGATAACATGAAAAGAGTCGCACCAGAGCTCAATCCCTCATCCCAGATACCGTAGGTATCGTAGGTATCTGGGATGAGTGAATTTTCCCCTTAGAGGAAGTGTGAGCCGTATGACTAAATCTGAATAATATTAATGTAGTCTAATATAACTGCTGGTAGCTATTCCCAAAAAGTAGATCAAAAAATTTGAGATTACTACAGCGCAATTAATTTCCTGAATTTAATATACAAAAATATTACAATTATCTTTCTGCACACATATTTATTTATTTATTTAACGTATGGCAATTTAAAACATAACATTAGCTATAGTAAGTCCTAGGTGTTCTTCCAGCATGACAGGAAGTAGAATAGTGTAATTTTGCGTCGGTTGATTTACGATTTCACTAATCTTGAGCAGTTTTTACCAAACTTCCAGTCATAGTTTTTAACCGAAAATGACATCAAAACCGGAGCTAAATATCCGAACTCGACTTTTCAATATGAGTCGATTGATATAATATATATACTATTTTTGCTACTATAATGTGACACTTCCCGTTACAACTTTTTAACCGAGTGTGATATAAAATCGGGAAGTATATATTTGTTTTCGTCTTGCTAAGGCGCGTCGGATAATATATCGCTTGTACTATTTTGGGGCCTTTAAAACATTCCTATGTGATATCCAGACATGGATAACAAAGGGTTTTCACATATTAATGTTGTAAAATGGGTGAAAACAATATTACAATTAATCATCTTAATCATTTAACTATTTAATCGACGCTGGTTTCGCATAGGCAAAGTCCAGTTGGTCTCTATCGTATTTCCTTAAAATGCATTCAGCAATCATATGCTCAATGGTCTGTCTCTCGATGCTACAGTTACATTCAGAAGATATTACCATCTTCCATTTATGAAGGGAGCCTGCGCAAACTTCGTGTCAGTTCTTATTCTGTTAAAAGTTTATCATGATTTTCAGGAAGATCAAAACTTGGTCAAGTTTCTGTGATGCGAGGTGTATTTCTCATGTCGCTCTGCATGTTCTTCCACTCGGGGAGCATTAGGATATATTTGGAGCTCCAGTTAATTGCATCTCTAGTTTATGATTTTCTGGAGCGCAGGCTATGTGAGTTGGTGTCAGCGATGTCTTTGTGTATTGAAAATTCCAGATTGTTTATGTTTTGGAACCCTTTATAAAGCATCTTGGCAACTGAGATTATTGGGAGGTATGACTCAGCGGTGTATGACTGGTACGGGGCATATTAGCTATATAAATACTAAATAGCAGCGGTGCAAGTACAGAGCCGTGGAGGAGGCTGTTGCTTAAGCTTTTCTGTTTGTTTACTATTTTTCCCGTAATTACACGAAAGTTTTTACTACCCAGCATGTTGTTTACGAGTCGGGTGGTCACTTTGCAGGGGATTATTTTGAAAAGCTTATAGATTAGACCATCTTTTCATACCATGTCATATGTATCCGTTAGATCAATAAATCAGCACAGGAGTCTTCAACTTGGTAATCTACCTCTATATGAGTAGTTAAAGTGAGCACTTGGTCAGTGATGCTTCTTTCTCAACACTGTTAAAAAATGATAGGCAGATATTAAAGAGGATTTGTTAGAAAAATCAAGCATCAATAAGCATATTAATAAAAATTCAATATGGAAGTGACCTATGCCATCTGTTCTTTTGTGGGTTTTAGATGCTTTTATAATACCATCAAATTAAACTTACTTTCTAAAGCTTAATCTCGTTAGCCACGTTAGAACCGCCCAGTTGACTGGTTTTAACCGTTGGACTAAGTTGTCCCGTTTTCGAGCGGGGATAAGTATATTCCATTAAAGTGATATCCTCTAACATCGATTTCGTATATACATCGCGAATGTGTATATCATGTAATCTAAAGCTTATTATACCTAAATATTATTATTGGATTATATTCAACTACTCTCAAGAGGTAAGTATTTACCTCATGCTTAGTACTAGGTTTTACTGATAATGATCCGACTGGGTCAAAAATGTTTTGAAGATAACTTTAATCATTTTGAATAATTTTTAATAAAAATATACCATGATACGTCAGAAGTTTTTACTTAATGGCACGATCTTGGTTTTTTCTTTCTTTGTTACAAACTTTCCACAAGTATTATTAAGTTGTTTAAGCATTTCGAGCAACGGTTCTAAGAAAAATATACGGGGAACTAAAAGAATGTGGTCTGAGGCGTAGACGCTACAACTTTGAGTTATATAGGAGCTTCGAAGACTCTGACGTTGAAACATTCATTAAAGTAGCAAAGATCAGATGTATTGGATGCGCAATCAGAAAGAAGGAAGATCCAACGATGAGAAAAGTATTCGACCGAAAAGAACTAGCGGGACGACGTACTAGAGATAGAATGAAACTTAGATACCTGGAAAAATTGAAAGACGAATTAAAATCCATTAAAGTCGAAGAGTAAAAAAGAATTGCCAAAGATAGTGTGGAATATTATAAAGCAGGATTTAGTTGATAAAGGACTGTAGTGCCGATAATGATGATGATGGCATCAAGAGAAGCTTTATTCTGTTTGACTTTGCTGGCCCAAAGATGCATGATTTAATAAATTACGTTTTGCAGATAATTTAGTATAAATACCGGATTAAGATCAATTTTAAAAGAACTAAGTGCATATTCATGTAGATAAATAGTAGTTGTAATGTAATCATCAAATTGGTTACTGAAATCTGGGAGCGTGAATACGATAAACAAATGCATAAATGAGAAGCTTCGGTGTTTTAAGTGTTCTCTACTGTTCTTTACGACACGGAGGCCCAAACAGTAGAACTAATATATACAAACTAATTGGCTGCCTTTAAATTTTGGTGTTAGGAAGAATCCCACGAATATAATGGATTAGAAGAGTGTCAAATGTAAAAGTAACTAGGAAGATAGGAAATGAAGCATATGTAATATTGATTTAAAAAAAAACAAAAACTTTGGTACTTATAAAAGAAGCAAGGCAAAATTCAAGAGGAGCGAAATGTGAGAATGCAAGAATGTCCTGGGCTAACAACCTGAGGGAATGGTTTGAATAAAGTTGCACAAAACTATTTAGAGCGGTGGTCACCAATATCCGCATAACTACTATGATTTTCAACCTTAGATATAATATGAACCTTGAAGAAGAAGAATAGTATACCAAAGAAACATATGGTTAAAACATACTTGTATTATAAATAATAAAACGGTAAAACTTATCCCTTAAAAGAAAAAACCTTAAAGTTAACTTCTAGCGCTAAAAACTAGTGTTGATAATTAACACAATAAAATCTATTTAAATACCATTTAAAATTAAGTTGTTTAATAAAGTATGAAGCAACAAGTGTTTCCACAAAATTATGCACAGTTAATTTACGCGAAAACTACATGATTGTATCGTTTATACACACCCGCAGTATTGTCAAAATTCAAAATGAAACAATACGGCAATAAATGAGATCAAAATTAACCGTATAATAAAACATGGAATATATTAAAAAGCTGCGATTATTATAATAAATTTTCATCTGAAACATTAACGATAAATATATTATTTATCTCTGATCCACCTATGAGACTCGTATGATCGGATATGGCAAATAATTCAATCTATAATACAACATAAGTTTAAAAATGGATCAATATTAATAAAACATTAAAATACTGTCTTATATACACAAGATTATTTGGTGATAAATGTTTGGTACTCATTGACCTATGTTAAAAGATGCGAGAAGGTTCAATAATATCCTACGATATTGTCCACACCAGTTTTTCATTTTATTTATATAGACCAGAGAATTAAAAAAAATTCCAAGACACTCATTGATACAGGTATCTAACAAATGCTTTTCCTAAATTTAGTGATAACAATATATAATAAACAAAATATGTAAGAGATTAAACGTCATTGTATACTTATAAAATAATCTATAAACAATGTAAGATAACTATTTAATTTTAAATACTAAAGGTGAAGACCGGTAAAATATGGAAATGGAAATGTGTTGGTTTATAACAAGTATCTTAATGATACATTTTGCATTTATATCATCTCCTGATTCTTTCATGAAACTATTTTTTCAGAACCTGCTAAATTTGTCAGACGAACTGCCAAATAAAAGCAAAAAAAGGCTATGTGGTGACTTTAATATTAATTACGCTGTTGCTTGTGCTACCCAATATTCGAATCGTATGGTTTAACAATGCACGTTAATTCTCTTACAAGAATTACTAAAATAACATCTAGCATAATTGATGATTGTCTCAGATTTCTCACCCCTTGATAGAGACTCTACAATTATTAATGCAGGACTATCCGATCAGGAAGCAGTATATACCAAGTTTAATACTCTCAACAAACCATCGTCGAAAACCCATCGTTACGGGATTTTTTCCGCTTAGAACTTTCGTAAATTTTAAAATTTGTGCTTGACTTCTGGGCGGCATTTTCCGTCAGTGGACGTGGACTATATTTTCAGTGATTTTTAAGATAGGCTTATCTGTATTTTTAATAAGGCATTTCTTCATGCAACTATAACTTCTGATCTACTTAAAATAAAAACCTGGTCCGACTCTAATTTATTCTTTTTTAACGTGGATAAGATAGAACATTATTCTATAAAGGAGCTCTACAACCCTTCTTTTTAATAATGGCCAGATCGGTACCATCGATTTTGTAAAATTTATTAGTATTTTTATAGACAGAAATTGTCTCTTAAATGGTCCCTTCATAGTAAGAATCTAGCCCCAACCTGCTATGCAATAAGATATGTTTCAAAGGAAATTAATTTAGCATCTTCATATGGTTTTCCTTTTTGGGGTTCTAGTACAGCTGCGAAATCTGATCTTATTTTTAAATTACAAAAAAGAGCAATACGGTATCTTTTTGTTCCTCGGCAGAATCACACATCGCAGAAACTACTTCAAAAATCAAGTGATTTTAACTCTTCCCTCTTTATATATTTTCTGTTTGGTTTGTTTGGTTAATTCGTAAACACCTACATGTTTCCTAGCAAGACCTAATTATGACTATTTCACCAGAATTTCAACCTTTGATGTGTAGTTACCGATCCCGTCCAATGAGTTAGTAAAGAAATCTATATTATATTCGACAAAAAAAAATATACAACAACCTCCCTTTGGAACTTAAATCTGCAACTTTTTTCCTTAAGTTCTGTAAAATGACAAAAGCCTATCTATCTCAAATATTATATTATTCAGTAGAATAGTTTCTAACGAATAGCTAAGAAATTATAGTACCTTTATTTACAAGTAAGCAAAGTGACAATAAAGCATATTTCTATTCTATTCTACTCCAAAATTGCAATTGTATATCACAAAAAGCTATTATATACAACGTTATTATGCGTTAGGAACGATTTAAAGCTAAACTATTTTAGTATTTCAAAAATTAAATTCATACATTAAAATTTAGAAAAGTCGCAATATCCGGTTCTAATCAACGAAGACTGATTTGTTGAAGTTAGTTATTAGTTTGGTGTACCTCGTGTCATGAATTATAAAACTGCATTTAGTAAATTTAAGAATTCTTTATTTACCCAGGAAATTTGTTTAAACAATTTAGAATAAATAAATATTTATTTTGAAAAATTTTTCTTTTTTCTTATTATTATTAGTAGAAAAAGGATATAAAATAGTAGGCATCTTAAAAATTTATGTATAGTAGTTATAAATAATATATTTTAACAATAAATTTAACAAAAAATTCATTTTTTAATTAATAGTTTCTTTATATAGCCCATATAATTTTTTTTACAATTCGGGTGATTGTAATGTAACAGTTGAACCTCCTCTGTCTATTTACCTCACAAATAAGTTATTATTTAGATGATTGTGAATAAGAGCAGTGTGACGAACACGAGCACCGTTGTGTAAAAATCACATTCTTTGTGGAATATTAGGCGAGATATTTTGCAGTAGTAATGGCGAATGATTATATTCACACGGCTGTTAAAAGAGGTGGGCTAATCACATAGTCCCTAACAATACCACCCAAAACATTTATAGTCCTAGTTGGACTATGACGACAAGAATTACTTGATGAATAGTAATAAAAATTATGCCGATTCTCCCATCTCCAAAAAGCACTTAATCGAGAAACAAATAGGCCGTAATGCACCTGCTACTGAGATCTTTGACAAAAAGCACATTTTGGATGATAATCATCGACTGTCAATTCTGGACGTCACTGAATACGGTAGGAATGCAATTTATTTTTACGGAGGATTTTTGCTGACAAAGTTTGACTAGTGTCATATTGACGTAAAATTTTACTTCAGGGGGAATCCATTCTGATATTCTACTGGGCTATCTGCCTTCTTGTATCCTCTTCATGCGTCCGAGCCATGTTAACTTACTTTTTTCAATCTCGTCGCCTATATTACGATCTAGCTTTATTTGATCTCGTATTTGCTCATTTCTAAGCCTTTCTAGTTTTGATCTATCACACCGTCTAGAATTGTCCTTAAACAATATTATTTATGAGTTCACTAGACCCAAATTAGCTACAATTAAGCGAGGAATTTTTTTCCGCTGATAAAAGTAAATTGGGCCTAAAACAATAACACAATAACAAAATGAATAAGATTAGAATACGCAATTGACTGTTAAAATTAATCTTAATCTTATTCTTAATAATTTTAAATAATAAGTATAAATATTGGAAATTGCAAGTATACGACAGTACAGTAAGTTGCTCAGAAATGGTAGGTCAACTGTTAACCAAATATTTACAGTAAGGTAAACGCTGAAAAAATTCTACGGGCGAAATAACGAACTACATCATCTTTTTATAGTTTTCGAACAAGCGTAGAGCTCAATAATTAGAAAGGAGTTATATAGCGCAATGCATGAAATAAAGGTGCCAAAAAACTACTAGATTATTAAAACTATTCCTATAAAACAAACAAGGCGACTACCAAAAGGGCACTACACAGTATCTTCATTATTAATAAACGTATAGCGATATACGAGATATTGTAGGACACTATAAATAAAAATAGATTTACTATAAGACAAATTTTGATTTATTGATTTAAAAAAGGCCTTTGACTAAGTTCAGGGTGTAGAAATAAATATGTAGATACAACTATGAGACGTTAATAATATACTTCAGCGTAATGTTTAACAATACTTATTAAATTTGCTTGAAAGTTCATTTACATAATATTTTTATAAAACAAGCTAAATATGCCCAAAAATGTGCGATAATTCAAATAATAACAAATTTTGAAAGAAACCCGTCGCTTGTAGGATAACATATTTCCCTTGTAAGTAATCTACCCTCTCATTTAATTGTTCCGGTCCTGTACTCTAGATAGTTATATGCGTTTATGTGCATTTAGTAATTAGCATTTTGTGTTGCTTAACAAATTAATTTAAGTACAGATTAGTTCAATATTAGCCCGAATTATATACGTTGTTTATTTTTTTATAGTTGAAAAAGGTGTGGCGATATATACCTACTATCGCTCTCTTATTTACCTCTTATGCAAATTTAACTATTTGATATTCGAGATATTATAAATTAATCATTCTTAGCAGGTAATTAACAATTATTCCTTATTATTAGAAATTATATTTCTATTTGCGATTGGTATACATAATTAAAATGAGAATACATTAAATACGAGATATCGACCAAATTGAAAACAAATCGACTCTTAGGCGGATCTGTGTATCTATGGTGGACTACATAAAAGCATAAAAATACGGTAGAAATTAATGTAATGTCAAAAATTCGTTTTAAAGATTTTAGGTTCATAAGAGAATTTAATTTGTAGATTTTATTAGATTAGCAATTCCGATTTGGAATCTTTCATTTTCAATATATATGTTATAATTATTGATTTACTAGTAATCAATTTAGATAGAATAATAAACGTAGAGATTAGAATAACATTTTACAAGAGATTTAAACCATATACAAGGTGCGTTTTTAGTACGACATTGGTAGATACTTCCGTTATAGTACAGAATGACCAAAAAAGTTATTTAGAAAATATGTAGGCAGTGATATTCTCCAGGTTTGGAAAATATGCCGAATTCTATATTAATTAATGATTATGACTACGTGGTTATGACTACATGGACTATATTATGACTATGGATGATTAATAACTACATGGTAAAGCAAACCTACACCCTGTATATTTTCTCATATTTAGATAATCCCTGTTGGGGATTATGAGAGGAATCCCACAATATTGGGTTCGAGACGACTATATAGAGTATTTAACGATTCATGATTATTTATATTTCGAAATTGCTTTTCATTTGCTTTTTAGAAGCTCTTTGAAGTATTCTTTCCATCTGTGCAGTATTTCCTTCTCACTTACCTTATCACTTGTTGATATACAGTGTATTTATTTTATTAAACAAAGTGAATCGTGACGAATCATACATCATTGAAAAGAAAAGGGGGTACCAAATATGTTAAGACAGAAAAACAAACATGATAGCATGGTCAAAAAGCGACTACCAAAAGGGCACTACATTCTAGTTTCGTTAATAATGAATGTATAGCGACATACGAGATATCATATGACACTATGAATGATAATATATACACTATTGGGTAAATTTGTTTTATTGACCTGAAGCAGCAGGCAAACGAGTTACTGAAATATTGTGGAGCAGCAATGACAGAACAATTAACAACATTAATTAATAAAACTATAAAACACAATAAAATACCGAATGAACGAGAACGAGAACGAGAACGAGAACGAGCGAACTAATTCTACTATTCAAAAAACAAGATAAAAAACACCCAGAAAACTACCGAGATATAAACTTGTTAAATACTACGCTAAAACTTACAACTAAAATTTTACAAGTGCTAATAAATCAGAGGATAAGTTTGGAACATAAAGAACAGGGTTTCCGTAGTGGAAGATCGTGTATTTTAGAGATGCAATATTTGTTATAAAGCATATAACTGATAAATCACTAGAGTATAAATAGAGTATTTCTGTGTCTGTTTAACCTAAAGAAAGCGTTTGACAAAGTAAGACTCAAAGATGTAATTTATATAATAGAGAAGCTCCCCTAAATATTATAAAACTATCGAAAACATCTACGAAAACAACAAAATGTAAGTCAGAATAGATGGACAACTTACAGAACCTATATAAATAGGCAGCGGAATGAGACAAGGTGATTCATTAAGCCCCGTGCTCTTCAATTTGATTATGGATGAAATCATCGTTAACAAAGAAAGACGATATAGAATGGGAAACAAAGAAATCAAAATACTCTATTACGCAGATGACGCAATATTGATAGCCCAAGCTGAAAATAGTTTGCAAAGACGATTGCACAGATTTAACATAAGAGCAAAAGAATCAATCAATCTTATCTTAGAAAACTAAAACAATAGTAGTCAGCAAAGAACCAACCAGATGTAAAATAGAAATTGATGATATCAATATTAAACAAGTAATAAAAATAAAATACCTGGGAATTATACCGTCTAGCTATGGAGACCCAGACAAAGAAGTGAGAGAGCAAGTACAAAAGCAAATACACTGGCAGAATGCCTTAATAACAGTATATGGCGAAACAGTCACATTAACACTGAGATGAAATAAAGAATTTATAAAGCCAGTGTAAGACCAATAATGACATATGCATCAGAAACAAGATCCGACAAAGCCAGAACGCATAGGCTGTTGGAAACGGCAGAGATGAGAGTACTATGAAGAAAGACAGGAAATACGCTCAGAGATCGAAAGATAAGTGAAGATATTAGAAGAAAATATAACGTACAGTGTATAAATGAATGGACACACAATAGAAAAGAATGGTATAACCACATAAGCAGAAGCAAGAGATAAGTCACCAATCGGCAGAAAAAGTATCGGATGACCGCGCAAAAGATAAAGTGAAAACCTTCCATTTGTACAATTAAACCTAGAGTTAAGATTAATACTATTATAAAAATTAATATTAAATTCACCAGTCTTCCGGGTTGAACCTCGTCGATATCCATTGGGCCGAGCTTTCGAAATTCTCTCTGATGTCTTCTTTAGGGCTTGCGAGGTCTCAAAATACCCTAATCATTCATGGCAACACTTAGATCAGGTTTAGTAGAACTTGCACGGGATCAAAATGATACAAAATTAGTTTTGTGGACATTGAATTGGATTGAAACGATTTATTACTGGATCAATCAGAGAAGATCTTCAGTGAGTTTATTTTATCTTGTAAAAAATTTATGTCTTTATCGCGATATAGCATTGTTGAGTCATTCGCATAAACTGATACAAATGCATAAGACATTACATATGGTAGGCAAATAATGCCAATATTAACAGAAAATAAAAAGAATTGAAAATATGGGTGAACGAAAAGAAAGCGGAGAAAGAAAGAAATAATATTATGTACCACAATAGAATTATCGACCAATGTTAACCATTATAATAAATTGATACATCAAAAAATTTTCAAAACTGAAAATATTTTAAAATAAAAATACTTTCACATGCACAGAAATATTTTATAAAATGTCGATTATCAAATTCAAAACTAACCTCTTCTTCCTTACAGCTTAAATTTGATGGGGTTGAAGTTTGCATGGTATGAAGAACGGGTGCTAAAGTAGGACCTAACATTTCGCTACTGTCTTCCTCGATGCTACCTTCTGCCATGTCAGCCTCGCATCCTGATTCGTCTGAAACAAACAACGTTTGGTTAAATTAAGGTTATATATAACAATATGTTAGCTCAAAAAAATATATGCAATCGAAAGCCGTCCCTGGCGGTACAGTAGTAAACAGTGTTTTTCTTCGGTCCTACAAAATTTGCAATTTACGGTGGGATTTAAGAATAGTGTTTAGTTAAGTTATAGTGCAATAATTAGCTAATAAACTGTAAGTTATCTGTGTATATTTATTAAGCCGCAAATCAAATTGGTTTCTATTTAAAATTTAAATAACCTTAAAATTTCATATCGATACGAGGTGTATTCAGCGAAACTTTTGGAGCCACTGTCCAATATAACTATGGAGTCAAATATTGAGTCGATTTTTACCCCTATTCAGATGCATTTTACTACCGTTAAGTCATATTCCACAGTCTTAACCCAGCAGTATTTTTCAAAAACAGATCCCGCTATAATTTTCGGCGCAATCAATGGAGCTCATCTTCAGGATTACCTTATCCCTTTAGGAAGTATAATAGGACCCAAAAATATTATTTTCTGTTCCTGTTTATCCGTAACTCCCACGGCTTAATCGAGGTTTAAGATCAAATTGTAAACACACGTCGATTTATAACATCATCTGAAGGAGTTATATTGTCAAATGTATCTCTAACTGTTCCTCATGAAGTGCCTTGCGAAGAATTAAAAAATATTGGCTGAAATATGGTTTCACCGATTTCTTTTCTTAGGATTAGTTCAAACCTACCGGAATAGTTACCACATACTGTTTCCGAAAATAAGTATATGTCAGTCTATACAATTTTGTCGTACTTGATTAGTTTACAGTAAATTACGAAAATACTTCGTATGCAATCTTCATTTGCCAAGATAGTCTAACCTGCTATAAAAACAAAGCTTCATTACATATCGCTAGCCAGTGTCTTACGAATTCCAGTAATACTCCAACTGTAAGCTCACCTACAAATCTCCACAACCAAGAAACTACCGGCACTCTAGTTATAGCAAAACTTACAATTAACCACATTCAGCGACAACACCATTTTCACAAACTTCGCAAGCAATATCCTTTAACCTATCATCTTTTAACACCTCATCCATTAGATAAAATTGCAGAAAACTCTGATACATCACCACATTTTCCTAAAACAACTATTTCAGCCGATCTTAAAAAAAAACTTTAAGCTTGACATCTGTCAGTACTTACAATACTTGCGCCAATTCAAGTACCTCCAGAAAAAGCAGTTTTGGTGAAATCATTTTTCCTCCTATAGATTCAGCACTTTTATCACCAAATCTGTTCACAAAACCCAAATCTTCTAAATTAAAAAAACGCGCTTATCCAGCAATCCATCTACACGGAAACTCTTGAAAATTTTATTGATAATCATACACTACCTTTCGTTTAAAAATATCATCAATTGTCTTTAATGATTGATGATGTAAAAGGCTCACCCGGCACTATTAACATCGTCAAATAATTTACAAGTGATATGGTTGGTTTACTCCATCTTTTAAAATGCAGCAATAAATATGCAAATGATAGATCAACAAAAACTAAGTTTACAAAAGATACTACTTAACCATTTAGGGAAAGATATATCTGACTTATACAGGACAGTGACTCATTTGTAGATAATCGTTCAGTATCCTCCAACTACGAATATATTAACAACATTCAACTCGATTCTTCAGTGGAACATTGACAGATTTGTCCATCGTCTCCCTATGCTACAGCTTCTTTTATCTGAATAATCTTCAGATATTATTTGTTTGCAGGGGACAACCATAAAGACGAATAAATTGTACAATTCTAAACGTATTGTAATACGTATAGCGGTAATAGTAAACAAATCGAGGCGGTGCAAATTCCAATAGTTAGTGATTTGGAGGCTGGCGTTGTCAGAATCTCACTATCAGTTTAGTGTCTTTTTGCAATGTTTAGAGCAACTGCTACATCCTTATATAATTCTAGGCGACTTTGATGCTCACAACATAATATGGGGGTCAGATCACACATCTGCCAGAGGCACAAGTATTGCCGACATCTTAGATCAACTTAATATAAATTTTCTTAATGACGGTAGCCCCACAAGATTCAATATTTTAACAGGATATTCTTCATGCATTTATTTAACTCTCTGCGATCCAAATTTAGCTCATTGCCTCAGTTGGGATGCTCTAGCCTATACATAATATGGTAGTCACCATTTCCCAATCCTTATTAGAAACCAATTTTTCCTCATCAGGTCACATATTTATATCTAAGTGGAGAATAAAAATGCAAATTGGCAAAAATTCTCCGAATATATCGATAATAATATTTCCACTTTGAAAATAATAGAAAATATTAACTTAACTATGGAGCAGTTTAATCAACTTATCTTAAACGCTGCCCAGAAATTTATTGGTAAATCTAAGTCTGTTAGGGGTCGATGTCCTGTACCGTGGTGGAATGAACGTTGTGCTACAGCAATCCGTGAAAGTAAATCAACCATAAGCCGATACAAAAAGCATAAAACACTCAAAAAAAAAAGCACCAGTTAAAAGTTAAAAGCAAGGGCCCAGCTAACTGTCAAAACTGTTAAAATATTTTTATGGAATAAGTACGTATCGGAAATTAATAGTAATACTGCTCTCTCTCTCTGATGCCTGGACAAAGTTCCTGGTTTCTCAAAATTTTCTGGTTTGCACACTTCACACAATTTAAAGGATTTAAAAGAAAATAACAATTTTATCATCGAATCAACAATATATAGCCAATTTTCTTAAACTCAAAGAATTCGCCGAACAAAATCGCATACATCTTAGAAGTTCAAAATAAAACCCTAAACCATCCTATCTCTTTTCAAGAGATAAACTCATCTCTTCTTAACCTGAAGGATTCTAGTCCTGGTCCTGGTGATATTCCTTCAGCATTTTTGAAATATCTTTCTGTATCAGCTATAACGTATCTCTCAAACATATTTAACAAAATTTGGCTCCACCACCAATGACCAGCTATTTGGTCAAAGGCAATAATCATTCCTCCCCTAAAAATTGACAAACTTAAATATGAGCCAAAATCATACTGACTCATATCTCTGAATATCTCCTTAATATCGTCAATTCTTCAAAACTTTTTAGATACTCTCGAAAATTGGTCTCACCTTACAGGCTTTCAATTTTCAATAGAAAAATCAATAGGAGTTGTATTCTCTTCAAGCTCCTTGCCACAACCCCCAACCCTCAGAATCCATGAGAAACAGCTAAAGTTTAGAGATCATCACAAATACTTGGGTTTAATTTTTGAATCAAATCTTACATGGAAAGATTACATCTCACAACTTATCCTTTCCTATAACAAAATATTAAATATATTAAGATCTCTTTGTAACAAAAACTGGAGCTCAGACCAATCCACTCTATATCTTCTTTTGTATAAATCTTTAATACATTCTAAGCTATATTATGAAGCAATTGCCTATTTCACTGCTGCTAATCACTCTTCTTAAATCATTAGATGTTTGTGAATAAAAGTCTTAGATTATTATTACAGGGCTTTTCCAACGTCCTCGGTACCCAGCATTTATGATCTTTTAGGAGAACCACCGCTACATCACCGCCGCATATTCCTCACCCAATCACATGCAACGTCAGTCGCTTGTAATATTTCAAAACCAATATATCACAATACTTTTACAAATAAATATGTAAACAAATTCCAAGATGTTCGCTATATTACAAAAACATATTACGAAAGAATTAAATCCACACTTCAAAATCTAAACACTAATTTTCCGGATGTTTTCTCCTCAGACAATAAATATCCTAAGCCTTGGCTGATCGATTTACCAATCTGTGATACATCTCTTGCCCATTTCAATAAATCCAGTACAAACAACTCTCTTATTCGGCCAAAGTTCGAAGCCCTCTTAGAAAAGTACCCCGATAACTATAAAATCTATCCAGATGCATCTAAGATGCATTAATCGTTTCCTTAGAAAACAATCTTCTTTTCCATCTACACTCAGTATGTAGCACATATTCAGCTAAGCTGCTCTACGATATATACCGTACTGTGAAACTTTTTAACGAGCTTAGCTCCACAAAAGCCCTGATCATAACAGATTCCCTTAGCTCCCTAAACTAAAATATTTTTCCGAAACATCTATTTAAAAAGTTACTAAAATACTAAAAGTAAATAAAATACTAAAGTTACTTTTTGTGGGCACCCTCACACGTCGTAATAACGAGAAACAAAGAAGCTGACAGCACTGCATGACAGGCAATTTTAAGCGATTGTTAGGAGCCTATAGACATGTGTGTTTCCAGTGAGTTAAAAGTTTATTTTCAAAAACAAGTGTTGTGTTTGTAGCGAATGAGTTGTCTCAAACTAATTCTAAGCTGAATAAGATTAAGAGTAATGTTTACCATTGCCTGTTTTCCAGTGTTTCTTACGTCTAGGATATACCAAGTTACACACTCTTACCTTTTCACAAAGAATAACCTACCCATATGTGATCAGTGTAACGTTCGATTAACATTTGACACGACAACAGTTTAACACTTTTTAACAAATTGTGATAAATATGGCTTCTGCACACTTCTGCAGGTCATCATGCAGGGTAGAGTCGATGGCAAAAAGGGAATAGGTAGAAAAAGGAAGTCATGGCTGCGAAATATTCGAGACTGGACAAACATGACTGTAGACGAATTATTCCACGTTGCAAAAGACAGAGAAGCTTTTAAAAATGTAGTCGCCAACCTCCGTTAATGGGGACGGCATAGGAAGAAGAAGAAGAAGATAAATATGAACAAGAAAGACATCGTTACAATATCTAGAACTCTCAACAGAAGCTCTAGGTCACGAGTGTTTCTATGATAGTATAATTAAATATCTAAGATCTTTAAAAATTTTCTATAATCTGTAGTTATTTAATTTTATTTTAGCCGTCCTACAACAAATGAAAAATGGGAAAACTGCATTAGAAGAGGCAATGAGAGCATTACTGAATAAATGCTTATTGGAA